GGCGAGTGCGACGATCCCTGTCACCCCAACCCCTGCCACCATGGTGGCATCTGCCACGTCAAGGAGGCAGAGATGTTCCACTGCGAGTGTCTCTACACCTACACCGGTACGGGGAGGGGGCTGCAGGCTGGGCATTGCTGGGGGTCCCGATCCTGCTGGCTGGCCCAGAGGGATCCCAAGCCTCCGGGGCTCCTGTTGTGAGCCATGGTGTGGGGGGGATGTGGTGTGGAGCGTCAGGTTTAGGGGGGACAAGCGTAGGGTGAAGTCACATCCCATGAAGACCATAAATTTCGGATGTATTCATGCGCACGTGAGACAAGGGCTGGGATTTGTCCATTCTCCCCCACAAAAAAAATTTCGCCCTTGCATTTTAGGGGCGGCGCAAAGTGCGGGGTATCATCTGGGGTTTGGACTGGGTGACCTCTAGGGGTCCCTTCCAACCCAAACCATTCTTTAATTCTGTCTGCCATTCCTGGAGTCCATTGCGGGGGGCTTCTTGGGTCATGGGAACCCAACCTGAGACAGAAGAAAAAGGCTGGCAGGGCCATCAGGAGGCATCAAGGATGTTTGTCCCTGGCCAAATGGCGCCCGATGGCTGGTGGTTTGGGATGCTGCTGTGACAGGCTGCCTTCTCCGCTGCAGGCCCGACGTGTGCCGACGAGAGGAATCCCTGTGACCCTACGCCCTGCCACATCTCTGCCGCCTGCCTGGTGCTGCCGGAGGGAGGTGCCTTGTGCGCCTGTCCCATGGGCCGGGAAGGAGACTTCTGCGAGCTAGGTGGGACGGGAGCTGGCAGAGGAGCGGGTCTGGGGAAGGGGGTGGAACTGAAGGTGCTGATTTCCCCAGCCTGGGTGGCCAGGAGGCCTTGCTTGCTGTGGTTCTGGGGCACTGGCTGAAGCTGCTCTGCCTCCTCTTCCTCACCCTTCCCTCGTTTGTGCCCAGTGACAGAGCAGGACCACACCATGCCCTTCCTCCCGGAGTTCAATGGCTTCTCCTACCTGGAGCTGAACGGGCTGCAGACCTTCGTTCCTGACCTGCAGTAAGTGCCAGGGACCGGGAGAGGCGAGCGCATCGCCTGCGTGGCTGGTTTGGGG